GGTGCTGGGGGCGGGGCGGGAGAGCCAGGGGCCACGCGCGAGGGGCCGCCCGCACCGTCAGGAAATTGGGGGTGTGAAGTAACGAGGCGTCGTCGCAGATGACGACACGAATATTAGAGGCCGCGCGGGCACCGGGCTACCGTTCCTCCATGGGGCTGCAGAGGGCGCCATGCTCCTTCCGAAGAGGCCCCGGCTCGCCGGCTGGAGCCAGCCTGGGGTGCGCGCACCTTTCAGGGTTCGCAGGCGTCGCCGACTCGCGTGACGCAGCGGGGCTCACTGCTTGTGTGGGCGCTCGCCGCAGTCCAGTCTGCACCCTGCTGTCGCTGCGCGAGGGGCTTGGTCTCCAGCGCGCGGGCCTGGCCTTCATTTCTGGGTGCTGATCGTGCTGAGGGTCGCCAGGGCGCCCCCTTCCCTGATGCGGGCGTCAGAGGACGCGGGGGGGGGGGGTCAGTCCCGCGCTGCCTGCCTCAGCTGTGGCGCCCCGGGACTCCCCTCTCCCACAGCCACCGCCTTCTTCCCCAGGGGGCGAGGACGTGCGGGTTCAGGTGCGCCTTCCGGCTTTGGCCAGTGTGTGATGTCCACCTGCAAAAGGGCCAAAGCTAGGCTGCACGCGCGTCCGGTGAGGTGGGGCGGGAAGGGCCGTTGAGCTAAGGTGGGGGCCCTGTGCCCCCACTAAGGGCAGCCCGCCGAGGCTGTCGAGTCAGGGTGCTGCTCCACGTAAGGGAAGCTTGTGGCCAGCGCCCCTTTTCCTCCTTGTCCCTGCTGGATGTCCCGCTCCTCTCTCAGTGTCCATCCCCAGCCTTGACCGCACTGCTGGACCTCGCTGGCCCCTGTGGCCACAGGGGCCCACACCCCTGCTGAGCGACTTTGACGTCAGTTCTTGCCTCTAACTTTCCGTTTCTCAAGGATGAAGGCCGGGCAGGTCCTTCCACGCCGCGCCGTGCCTCCTTCTCCAGGCTTCGCCCCATCTTGTTCCAGCACTTACTTTTCTATTTTCTTTCTTTTTAAAAAGAGCATTTATTTGTTTATTCTTGTGTAGAAGAGGTGCAGAGGTGTGTGTGTGGGGGAGCAGGGCGTGAAGGGCAGCAAAGTGTGAGCTACTTTTAAATCCTTGCTCAGAGGCTACAACAACCCACCAACAAATTGTTGTGGTTTTGTGCTCCTAAATATTTTTTAAAACTTTGTTTCTGCGCATTTGCTCATGCCACTGATAAATTCAGTCTCTCCTTTGTCAGTGACTGACTCCTTTTTTTCAAACTCGCCAGAACGTCCCTGGTTTTTACCGTGTTCCTGCTGCACCAGCCATGGGCCCTACTTGGAGCAGCCTATATTTTCCCAGCCAAGCGGCAAGCTCTTCCAGACTAGGGCTGTGTCTCGTTTTCCTAACACCTTGGCTTATTAAGTTTATGGAAGCCCTTCCTGTCTCTCCTCTTATAGTGGCAATAGTGGCAGTTATCATACCCTGCCACCTCGCATCGTGTATTATAAAAGATGGGACACAGACTCTTTAGTACCTGTAACACGTGACTGTTCCCTAAAGACGTCACTTCTGGACTGCCAGAGCTGCTGCGGGCCTACCTGTTGTTGGAGGAGGTTAAGTCTCAGGGCTTAACCTGGCCGGAGCTGCTGAGGCCTGAGTTTGACCCCATCCAGAGAGCTAATCCACAGGCCCAGCAGACCTCTCCTGTCTCTCCACTGCTCCCCTCAGTGGTGTACTTCAGTAGATCTGCCTGTTCTGCTCTCCACTCTCTCCCTGGGAAATGAATCCTCTTTCCCTGGCCCTGCACCTCTGGTCTATACCCCAGTTGCTCTATGCATAAGTAAATAAATAAACCTTAAAAAGAAAGAGAAGCTGCTGAAAATATCCTTGAAGTCACTACGTTCCTGGAAATGTTAACTGATATACTATAATGAGAGGGGCCCTGATCCAGTTTTTAAAAGCCAAGAATATCTGAAATGCCTTCTTTGAAGAGCATGTATGCTGGTGACACTGAGAACAGCTCCCTTTCACCCCAGCATCCCTAAGGGTGCTGCAGATGTAAATACAGCACGCTCCCCGCACACAGGGCACACCCCAGCAGGCAGGGCACACCACACACTTATAGGATGGGCAAAGACGATTTCTTTGATGACGATTCCTTCTATCTGGTTTTTGGTGCTTTTGACTTTTACAGTCTTTGGTGTATACAGCCTAATATGAGAGGCTACACTGAAATTTTACACAAAATGATTATTTGACTTGATGAAGTGCAAGATCTGTTCACCAGTAAAACACTCTGGTTTAATTTGATCGCTACATATGTTCCCCTAAGTATTTTGGGCATAACTGTCTTGTTTGGTTTTTGAAGGTTATTTTCTGCCTATTTCTGCAAATCTGTGCACGAGAACATAGATTTGGTGCACGGAATAATGATGTTGTGGGTTGACTTGAAAAGCTAATCGTGCTCGCCACGGCAAAGCTTCCCGCGCTCACTGCAGCACACTCTGGACTCTCCTTTTTCGGTTTCTTCTGCACGGGCTTCTAATTTGATCTTTCTGTATGCTAGACAACTTGTCACGTTGTAAGAAGTTACTGAAGAGTTCACTGAAAGAGGAAACAAATCCAAGGAGCCCCTAAATACATCCAACCTTTGCTTCTTCAAACTGAAAAGAAAAACCCAGACAAATCCACTAGTAAGCCATTCTGTAGGCATTTGTGTTTCTGTTTTTTTGGAATGTGGAGTTAAATGCCCACATGACAGAGCTAGGAGATTTGAAAGTAGCAGTTGCTGGTAGACAGGGAAGAGGAAGCCTGGGGGGATGGTGTTTCTGTTTGTGGTATGTAAATGTTGGGCCCATGACGTTACACTAAAAACAGAGAAAGAGAGGTTGTAAAGAAATGATCATCCCGGGCCTGGGCATCCCCACCCAAGGGATGCTCTTCTTGCAGGGCTCCTCTCTACCACCCTTGGGGAGTAAACAGAGCAGTGACTGAGGCTGAGTCAGCCAGGAGCAAACATGGTGCCCCCAAGGGAGCAGCCCAGCAGTTTCTCACCCAGCCCCACCGGGAACAGCCACCTCCAAAGACCTCTCTGCAGTGCTTCCAGAGCCAGGGTGGTAGACTGAGGTTTCCCGTCTAAAACAGCCTAGCTGCCCTGGGCTCCTTAGACATGTCACCAGCCCATCACTGATCCCTGGTCTTGACTCTGGGAAACAGGATATCAGAGTCACTTGCTTCATCACATGGCCTTGATCTCCTTTGC